GACTTCAAGGCTTCAGTATATAGATCACAGGGAGATGATGTTGTGTGCCAAGTAGGAAGAGCATCAGTGCATCTCTTAGGAAGGCAGAGCTAATAATTCACATATTCTTTCTCTCGCTATGCCACCTTCATGGACCTTGACCAAAAGCTTTAAGTTTGTATGTCGGAGGGGTGTCCACAGGGCAGCTGCTGTCTGCTTCTTTTACAAGCTGATGGAGTGGAATGCAATGTAAATTCAGGTCTGACATTTGGAGCAACAGCAGAAGCTGTGCAATGATACCACCTGAGCACATGCCTGAAAGCTCGGTCACGTGCTTCTCGTATATACTAGCGTCTTTATTAACCCCACCTCGCAGTATAAAGTTCTTAAATGGGCGTCAGTTCTGTTTCACAGTGCAACGAAATGCTGATCGTTCAAAGTCATTTTTGAAAAGCTGTTGGTCAGCAGGTGAGGTGGAGGGGGGCTCAAATTGCTGTTGCACACTTGTCTGCATCATGTTGTGCACAGAGGCCTGTCCAGTGCTCAAATGCTTCCCCCCCTGTTCCACTCCTAAGGTTGAAGGATGTATAGAGCCTCTGTTTTATTTCCTGGAGAATTGGTCAGCTGTCTTTAGGAAGAGGTAAACTAAGCTCCTGTTTTTTTTTTATTCCCTTTTTAGGAAGGACGAGAAAGAGACTGAAAGATGGGCTGCTTTGGGTTCCTGAAGTTCATGATGTTCATCTTCAATGGCATCATTTTTGTAAGCCTGGAATTGTTTAACATTTTTAAGCCTTGCCAGACAATCAGATCTTCCAGTCCTTGAAACCCAAAACGTCTGTTTTTTTTTGTGAGGGGGGCTAATGTGAAATATTCTCTGAGTTCATGTGTGTTATTATTTGTGCCCTGGGTGTAATTTTAGGCTGCTTCTGTGTAGAGTTTGCATGTTTCTCACATATTTATGTGGGTGTCCTCTCATGAATCTTCCACGTCTGGAGTGTGAGTTCTGAGGCCACATTTCAGGTAAGGTTCCAGGTTGGTTAAATGAACAGGAAAGTGGTGAAAATGTTAAGGTTTTTCTGGGCAGTGTTCTCTGTTTTGCATTATAGCGTAAGCAATATGGCAGTCCCTTTATTACACTGATCAGATCTTCCTTCTCAAATTCTGGGTGCATGCACTTGTTTAAGCCTACCTCCATGTTTTCGACTTTAAGTTCCAATTATTTGTAACACTTCTGATAGTAAAACAGGCCACTGCAAACAGATGGAGGATTTCTGTTAAGCCTCAGATGGGAAAAACATCAACCGATTACTTTTAAGTTAATTCATCCAGAACTCGCAACACTTGAAGAGTAGTGACCCAGAGAAAGGAATTCTTAGCTTTCACTAGTTTGGTTGCTAGTAGTTTGATGATCCCAATCAATCCTCCAGTCTCATCCATTTACCTTCTTGAATAACAGACTCAGTGGCATCTACAGTTTATCTAGACAGCTCGATCCAGACATCTGCCACTTGTTGTGTAATGAAGTGCCTCCACTTTTTAGTCCTAAATTCCACTTCTCTTTAATACTGCCTGTGATCCTGCTGGCACTGTCCATTGCTGAGCTTGGGGCCAACCAGATACGATTGGCAATCAGACGTTTCTATTAGGTGGAGGAGAATTACTCTTCTTCATTGTCTCTGACTTCTTTCCAGAGCAGAAGTAGATGCGTAAACTTGTTTGACGAGTATAACAAAGGTACTCTTGTTTATTTCTCTCATGCAAATACAATGCAAATGCACTCACACTTTTTTGGTGGTTCTTGTTTTTGTAGTGATGTGGTCAGCTGCCCCACTGTGTTTTTTTCTGGTGGAACAGCTTGGACCCGGGTCTTTATAAGACCCTCTCTCTGAAACTGCAAAGCTTCTCAATACAGAAGCTCCTAGAAGAGACATACTGTAGTATTGATTCTGTAGAGTAACAATTCTTCCAAGGAGTCAGATGAATCACAGCTCCCCCTTTAAGTAAAGATGCTTAGTTTTTTTTTTAAAGCAAGAAAACAAAATGGACTTAAGAGCCATTTGTTTTCCATGTCCAAAAGGACTTAAAGATTGTAGTTGGTCAGGTCAGCGTCCTTGAAATGTTTTTTCCGAGGAGCTGTCGTACTTTTGAGCCCATTTCTGTAGTACAAGGTTCTAGCGCTAATTGCATCTTTCAGAGCAAAACCTCTCTCCTTGCCCAGATAATATCTATTATCTATTGCTTAGAAGCTAGAGATCACTTTCAAAATGTGTTTCTTAAAATATATTGATCTGATCCAGGGCTCCTTAAAAACCCAAGACTCAGTGATGGTACGTTGCCAAATTGCTGAGATTACTAACAAATTACTACAATTCTACAAACTACCAAAGACATTTCGTGATATTCTGTAAATATAGATAAATGTGACTTGAACTAGATTATATGGAGTGCAGTAATATTTTGAAGTCTGGCTATTGTTTGAGGTCGCTTAAAATGGACTATGAATGCAGACAGTGCTTGTGACCTCCTTCTCCGGATATACCGGTCTATTTTTAACCACTCTCATAAAAGATAAGGGACAAGAAAAGAAACTTTCTAACAGCAGGAATCGTGCAGAAGACATCAACATGGATTTGAAGGAAAGGGTTGGGCTGGAGAAGCTGTGGAACATGTGTTTGTGCCTGCCGCTATCACCACCAGGCAAGGTCAATGTGCTCCTGAGCTGTTTAACTGCTCCACGAAGGGCTGTCTCCAGGAAGCAACTTGGCTTTTCTCTCCTGTTCCTGGAAAGTGGGAGAGATAAGGCCAGTCAGGTGTTCTCTTTTGTAAATGTGTGCAAATCAACCAAATGAGCAATCCTGATGGCGGATTTGGGGCTTAGCTGGTGTGGGGAAAATAACAGGAAGTCGCTAGGATCATTTTCGATCAACAGTGCAGCTCTTAGTCACCCCTGCAGCTTCCTGAACACCCCCAGACTGGCAGTGATGTCAGTGAGAGCCAGGCCACTCCTTTGTTTCAAATACTTCTACTGTTTTGGGCACCACATTCTAGAAAAGACACGGCTACTCTGGAGGGAGTCCAGATAAAGAGCAGCCAGTTGCATTCTGGAACCTATGGGAATGTCCAGCACTAAGGAGAGCTGTGTCTCTTTAGTCTTGAAGAGAGGAGACTACGAGGGCACCTGATCCTAAAGGCATTGACGGAGTCAACCAAATAGACTTTTCAGAATCCACACACCTGAACACCAGAGTACACAAGTGGAAACTAAGTGGAAGCGCATTTAAAAACGGGAACAGGAGGCTTTTCTTTACACAAAGAGTTGCGGGAGTATGGAACAGAACACCCATTCATATTGTTAACGATGATACCCGGTTTCCTTTTATTTTCAAGAAAGAATGAACGAGATCCTCAGGTCAATAAGCTATTGAACTTCCAGACAGGCTGGATGAGGCAGATCGCTTCCTTTCATTTGTAGCCCCTCTATTGCACTCACATTGGCACCAGCTCTCCTGTGCTGGCAAGCCCCAGCTTGTCTGGACATCCCCATTCTCCCCTTGAGGTGGGGGACAGAGCCAATGCGCGCACATAGGTTATGAAATCAGCACACATAGGAAATTGTACTGCGCACAAAAAATGAAATTACAAAAAATATGATAATAAAACAAACACGGTTGTCAATTAAAAAATGCTCAGTTGACCACATGAGACTGGCTGCGAGAGGCCCAACTTGGCCGTGTGCATTATTACTGCTACTCGATCATTGGTATCTATGCTCTCCTCTTCTCGTCCCTCACTCCTCATGCTCGCTCGACACTCTGTCTCAATGACCGGGCACGTTGAATCGCTGTCCCGGTCTTTTGGATCCCTTTGCTTATATGAGGATGACTATATTAACAAAAAAGAATTTCAGGTTTACAATTTTACATCCACTCAATTTAGTTATAAGTTTTTGTCACTGGGGGAAAAATCTGCACAACCTGAAATTTTTGCGCACACAGGCCATTAGAAATAAGAGGGAACATTGGACCGGGGGGCGGGGGGAGGGTCTTCTCTGAGAACTGAAAAGCACAAACAGAAACGTGGCTCGGTTCTGGGCGAGTGCGTGTGTGCCTGTGTTGTCCACAGCGACACGCTGACTCTAGCCGAGTCAGTGAACCAGTCAGTCAATCGTGAGAAGGGGAGAAAACGGAAAAACCCACAGCTGCTGTGGTTTCAAGGTCACTGTTCTTTTTTCCACATTTCCTCCTTCCTTCTTCCTTGTCCTGGGTTTAAAAAACCACGATGATTACCTCCTGACCCGATGCCGACCTCGGTGACATTTTTCAGCTGTAGATGTTCAGAATCTCCTCTTTCTGCTTTCAGTCTTTCCACTCCGTGGCTTTGACTCACCCAAACTCTTCCTACCTTTCCTTTGTTTTAATGGCAGATCCTGATCCCTAATTAGTGAATTCCTAATTAATGGCAGAGACCCCCCCCCAGAGCCCGCTGAACCA